GTGGAATGTCAAGGACGACATTCTTGATGCATTGGATGCTCTTGACAAGGTATGCCCCCTGTGCCAGATATTGGCCTTGATCACTTACGGGGTTGTACGTTTATGTTCGTGTTATGCTTTATAGGTCTACGCATCTTCGTCGGCATCGCTGCGCGAAACAGTAAAACAATCAACGAATGCGATCGTGCTGGCATCACGCGCGTTCTTCAATCCCGACATGCTGGCGCTGCTTTACTTTCCCGCTGAGCACAAGTACGCGGTGTACGCACCTCTTTTCGCCAGCGCCGTCATACCCGTGATCGCTGCGGCTATTCGAGAACTCCTGGCATGGCGGAGGCAAAGGCGACAGCAAACATAAACTTTATCCCTGTGCGAACCCCGTTAATATACACACGTAGCGCGTTGATTCATGGGGTGACTGAAACTTACTAAAACCCAACCTAATCAGTAGTGTTGTGGACATTGGCGACGATCCTCCAAAGCGGGTTGTATGGTAGCGGCTGGCAGCTTCGAACACTGTGAAAACTCTGTGCCATGCCCTCGCCAGTGTATTTATGCTTCGGTACTGCGCAGTAGGTCCCTTGGTGAGGCTGGAGGCTCTGCCATGGATTTTTCATTCAAGAGGGTTATTAAGTTACAGGCTACAGACTCGGAGTTCATTACCATTCGAATCGAGCGGCACCCAACATATCACGATTCACCGGGGTTATGACATCCCTTATGTCCTTGATGATCTTAAGTGGTGCTTCTCTCGAGGGTGAATAATAATAACATCGACGAAATGGTATTCTGTGCCTTCATATCATACATGCCATATGTCGATGATAGGCTGGGCCCCAATCGAGTGGTGAGCCGTAAATTATCCGACCAACCTTCTTCTCTTCGAGGATGAATGCGAACCACGTCGCCACGTTGGAGAGTGAACACAAGGTCCCTAACACATAACGGCATACGTCCTTGTGATCGATGGAAATGAGATGATTCGTGATTCAGCGATTCGTGAAGGTCTCTTGACCCGAAGGCTTAATAGGGAGGGCGCAAAGGTGAAATTATCGAGTTTCTCCGTAGTACCTGCGAGGTACTCAGGTATGCTGTGGATCGTCGGTTTGGGGCTGAAGTACTAGAGCCTTCTTCCGTGCAGAGATGAAGAGGCCGTAACTTTAACTAGGGAGAGGTCCCGGAGGTTTCAGTTTAACGTTTGTATAAGGTTGAGATAGGAACGTACAATTACAAGACATGGAGGATCTCCAGTGAGATATCCATGTTCATAAATTCCAAAATAGCCGCCTGTAATCATTATACCACGTACTTGTTCACTGGTTCGTGGCGTCATACAAGTTAGTTAGCCTTGATTAACGCGGGGATAACGAACTTGCATGGAAAACTGATCACGATCTCAAGTCATCTATATGTTGAGATGAAAAGATCATCATGTGGTCATCTATCGTGGCATAGAGTGGTCCGACAACAGCCGACGCACGTTAGGCGGCCAGATGCGGACCAGTGGCACTAAACGGTTCGTGGGTACCGCCGGTCGAGGCTTGGAAATACACCACGAACCTGACAGTCTTGGGTATTTTATTCGTTGTATTTGTCTCCGATGCAAGCGAATAAAACGCAGGGCAACGAGGGTTGAAATCGGAAGCCGAGGCTACCCACGACACACGCACAAAGTTCTAGATTGTGGAAGGGATCATGCTTATATCAGAGTATGATAGACAAGATGAGGAGACCAGAGAAGATATAAAAAGCCCGGCAGAGGCTCAGGACCTCTGAAGCGATTAGATGGTCTTCTGGGAAATTGAGATTCCTTCCAAGCGTCTTCTTCCATTTCCATGTCTTGCTCGGATCGGCACTTATTGCTCGGGAGTTCTTTGTCTTGTCTTTGTCAGTAATGCCCAGAGATGTCTGGACGAACACGACGTAGCAGGGATGTCGAGGACTGGACAGGGTGTGGGTGTGGGAGGAACATTGTCCAGCCACTTACCGGTTGCGACCTGCAGGCAAATTCCTTTGGCATGTCTGTGCTTCGTTGCGAGGCACAGAAATAAGCGGGAGCACCAAGAGCTGACATTTTCACAATAGCCAGGCCACGAGGGTGAACGCGTCGTTTGAGAGCTCGATGAGTTGAGGTCATACAGACCAGTTGGCGAAGCGAAAATTTACCAAGCACCCTACAGGTTCTAGGTCACCCAAGTTTAGATACTAGTGTCCACTAGTACAGTATTGATTATCATTCCCCATGTTTTTGATACTGGCTAGAACGAATCAAGGAACAGTGGGATTTAGATACAAGCCAAGGAACCCCTTGAAAACATCAAACTCACGACTGATATTCCGCAATATCACCGATTCACCAGTCACCGCACACCTGTAAGTCAAAAACAACAGTTCATGTTGGATATAGAAACCACGTCTCCACAACCGACCTGTAGGTTGGACTGTTTGCGCCCGAACGGTTTGTTTGGACCATTCATTCCCCGCCTGGTTGATACGCCACAGCCCAAACCAGTTCAAATGACTTCATTCATCTGGGAAGTAAACGAGGGTGACCTCAAGTCGCTCGATCCACTCGATCCCGGACATTAAGGATAGAATATAGAATGCGGATCGACTGAGGAGCTGCGTGTCAGTGCTGAGGCCTGAGGCCTCCGAATGAGTAAATTTTATGTATACCGTGAGCGCCATCGGTCCCAGTATACTGTACTTACTGAATTACACAGTCTGATGAAACGGGTTATTTTCGTTCAGCACGATGTCGGCGGCCGCGGTCGAGAGCGATCTAGCTTCCCGGCTGAAACGAAAAGAGTTCTTGACTTGTGGAGTGGAGACATGTTGGCCACGGTGGAGATCGTGATAGTGACCTGGTAAGTTGGCCGCACGATCGATGGCTTCATGTCCGGGTCGAGCAAGCGGTATGGGGAAGTACGAAAGAAATTTGGCGAGCTCTGATGCCTGCTGAGGACAAGCGGCCCCAGAACGCCAGCATGGCCTAGAAGGCCCAGGACCATCGTCTGTGAAACGGCTTTCCTGTGGTACCAGGGAGACGGTAAAGGGGTTGTCCGAGTTGGGTGTTTGGGGGATTCGACTCTGCGAGAGTACACAGACAGAACGCCGCGTACGCCCACCCCCTCCTCCTGTGGGTGTCCCTATGGGTGTCCCTGTGGATGTTGCTTTCCCCGCGAAAGAATGCTGGCAGAAAGTTCGACTGGCAAGTTCAAGCTGGCTCGGGGTCAACTCGGACTTGTACCACATTAAGTAGAAGAAGCGCCGTGCTTACATAAGCAGTGATGCATGAATTATGGGCGCTTATACTAAGCAGCGACTCACGCGCACTGCACCGACAGTGTCCACTTCCATCACCGTCGGCTTCACGCATTTCCGCCGAAATACCATGAGCAACAAGATGAACGTTGAGGGAATCATGATGTTGGAGCAGCCTTTCCTTCGAGTTTGTTCTATCCTCGTCTCCTTGGTGACACGACTGATTATTGAATTTGTGCAGGTGCCTTACGAGAACTACAGGAAAGCTTTCCGGACGTCACAACGCAATGTCGAGAAAGACCTAGGTGCTGTCAATTCTATGGCCATTGACGTCTCCAAGCGGGTGTCCTTAGAAAATGCTGAGCCGGCTGACACGGTGAACGCAATCGACAGCATGATAGCGCGTGTAGAGGCCTTGAAACGGAAGGTGCATTTCCCTCCTGTTTATCCCCACTTTGACCCCGCTAACAGTCCCCCTAGTTGTCTGATCTGCAAGAGACCACCGGGAAACCAGCGGTGAACGTCCTGCGAGAACGGGTCAACCATGTAGCCGCTATGGAGGGAATTCAAAGCTCCAATAGTCCTGAATTCGATCGTTGGACGGACACGAGATTTGACCGCTGGTTAGTGGATTGGTTCTTGCGAAATGGAAAGGAGAAGTCGGCTAGGCACCTCGCGCAAGAGAAACATATTGAGGTATGTGGATTTCTATTACAGCGACCGAAGGCTCACACGCACTCCTGGGTAGCCTTTGGTCGACATTGACTTGTTTATGGATATACGGCGCATCGAGGATGCCCTCTCGCACCAAAGCTGCACGGAGGCCTTGGCTTGGTGCAGCGAGAACAAGACGGCGCTGCGTAAGATCAAGGTACGTCCTCCGTCCGGACGCCCTCGATCATGCGAAGTTACGACGATCATTACAGAGCACCCTCGAATTCGAGCTTCGGCTGCAAGAGTACATCGAGCTAGCCCGCGCCCGTCGATCCATGGAGGCTATTGCATACTCCAAGAAATACCTCGTGTCTTGGCACGAAACGCACCTCGACCAAATACACAAAGCTATAGCGCTCCTAGCGTTTCCTCCCACGACTACATGTGGGCCCTACAAGGCGAGCTGTTTGCCCATGCTGTGATATGTGTAATTGACATTTCTCACCAGCGGTTGTACGACTCCTCCCGATGGTCAAACCTAATCCGGTCATTTCGCCTAGCAATATACACCCTGAACACCTTACCCACCGAGCCCCTCTTGCATCTAGCCCTTTATGCCGGTCTGGCTTCATTGAAGCTCCCAGCATGCTTCGACCATGCTACGAAGAACACCGACTGCCCCGTGTGTGATGGGGGCTCCAGCGAAGGCCTCGGACTGGGCAAATTGGCCGCTGAGGTACCATTCAGCCACCATGTTAATTCGACAATCGTGTGCGCGATCACAGGAAGAATTATGGACGCGGACAACATGCCAATGGCGTTTCCCAACGGTTACGTATACTCTCGCGAAGTGGGTCATTGTCCTCTGCACTCGCGCTTCTTTACCTAATGTTCTGTCTAGGTTTTGGAAGACATGGCGGCGAAAAACCGTGGCATGGTCACTTGCCCACGCACGGGCGAAACCTGCCAGTTTTCGGCCTTAAGGAAAGTGTATATTTCATAGGTGCTATAGATTTTATGTGGAATTGTATGTTCCATTGTATGTTTTACGGATTGTCACAAAAATGTAACGGAAACAAAAATTCCACCTAGCCGATTTGAACGACTGACCTCTTCATAAGCTACAAGTGTTACTAGTGAAGCGCTACTACCGCTGAGCTAAGGCGGACGTTGAATGGTAAGAACTCGCACTTATCATATGGGCGCCACGTCGTCAACATTTCGGTACAATCTCTTCTACTTGGTCTGAAACTATCAGATGTAATTGTAATTGGGGCTGGCGCCAAGACGGGACGCCAGAGTTGGCGGAGAGAGCGTCGGTGGGCCGCCGCTATTGCCAAACAACACCAAGCATAGCGCTAAGGCGGCGCGATCAAATGAATACATCTTCCATCGCAACCCTTACGGCGCGCGCATTCATGGCCTCGTTCCGTCAGAGAGCTCCTCTCGCTTCCGGATCAACTGCCACCGTCACACACTTGCGAGATGTTGCAGCCGAGGTCCATAAAATCACTCTGGAATGGCTTGAAATTCCTGAATGGCAACGCGACAACGAGTACATTCTCACTGGATATCGCAGGTATCAATGATGAACTGTTTTACCAGAACCGAATTCCAATTCATTCATATCTAGGGCACAGCACCACTGGCGTGGTTGCGTGCACTCGGTCTACGCGTGTAAGCAGACTCCTTCCCCGCGACGAAACCGCAATCCTGAGTCCTGACTTATGCAGATCTGCATAATGAAACTGGTGTGTCCTGGCGGCAACCGCTACTACGATGCCTCGCGGCTAATGTCAACCGTAGTGAATATCCACAGTCACCTCTGGGGAGCTGTTCTATTTGGATACCTCTTGCTGACGTTTTACCCAAATTATGTGGCCCACCAACACGGTGCCTCATGGATTGATGTAGCGGTGTTCGCAATATTTCTGGTCTCGGCGGTCTTCTGCCTTCTAGCCAGCGCCACCCTTCATGCCTTTACATGCCATTCACCGAAGGTACGGCCTTGCCTGTCACAGAAGGTTGCCATTCGTCATACTTGCCTGTAGATAGCATTGCGATGTCATGTACTGGATTATTCCGGGATTGTCGGTAAGCTATTCCACGGCTAGATACGGACAACTGACTGGAACGAAACAATCTAGTCCTGATAGTTGGCTCATTTTATCCGTGCATCTACTACGGTTTCTTCTGCCACCGCTTTTCCCAGGTCGTATATTTATCTGGTATCACGATCATCGGCATCGGTCAGTGACGGTATCCATTGAACCTATGGTGGCATTGACATGTATTGAACCTGCATGTTCCAGGTGCTGCATACATCGTCCTGAACCCAAAATATGCTCAACCCAGCCATAGGGGTGCCAGAACCGCGGTCTTCGTGGCTTTGGGTCTGTCCGCTGTCGTTCCGGTGTCTCACGGCCTTGTTTCCCATGGAGTCAACAAGATGATGTCGGAAATGGGTTTTGGATGGCTTGTGCTCTCTGGGGCACTGTATCTTGCTGGGGCGTTACTTTAGTAAGTTTCGTCGCTACGGGGTGGCAATTATGCTGACAATATTGATTACCAGCGCCAATAGAATACCAGAATGTTTGAGCCCGGGAAAGTTTGACTACTTCTTCGCATCTCACCAAATATTCCATTGCTTCGTGGTCATGGCTGCTTTGGCGCATTATCTATGCGTTCTAACGGCATTTGACCACTGGCATTCTCAGCAACTAGTCTGTTCGACGTAGCGTATCATTCCACGGGGTGCGTCATCCACATCCCATGTGTGTGAGTTGCTGCATGCCGTTCTCAACTATGATTGATGTATACCCCATTAATAGCTACGCTGCATGCGCCAAGCAGCCGTTCAGACTCGTGGCGCCTAAAGGAGACATTCCGACAGATATTCTTGTTCTAACCATAGGCGGCATTTTATAGATCCCTGCTTGAGATATTGTAGTAAGAACCATGGAGAGAACTCGGTGCCGGTGATATTCGTCAGTCCGTCCGCCAAGCGATTGAGAGCTCTGTGTATCAATAAGGGTTTCGGCTTTCCTACAAAGTACTTGACGGCATTGCACAAGACATCGTGTCATCGACCCAAGTCACCGTGCATCGTAATTACCTGCGCGCAACACGCACGCAACGAGATTGGCGGAGACGCAAGGAGTACATAAATGGAACAAACACTGCTGAATATGAAACGTAAGTGCACCTACGCGACAAAGCAAACCAGTTCAACCTGCAACGAACCGGGCCAGACCTGGCACGAGGGCTTGCAACACAGAGTCGGTGCCGAAGCCTTAGGTGAGTTCCAAATTCCAACCGTTCAAGTAACTAATGCAGATTCACAGGAGATCACAGAAGCCCATGAGACAGATTCCGGCTCCAACAACATGGCTACCAGATGCCCCCTTATGCCAATTCTACCGGGGCCGTGCTTGACCTTGATCGTGCGCTTTCTCCGATCCCTGTTCAACCATGCTCCTGCATGGCCGCACGTATAAAATGGCTGGGCAAATGACCCATACTTTCTGCACATCCCATTTGAATCATTACTATCGACCCCCTTCTCATCATGCCCTACGCTGTGGGTCTCCAAGCTGCTGCATCAGCATTACTGCATGCTGGCTTCCCAACCCAATTCACCCTCGCTATCGTTATTTTCCTTCTCATTATGCATGTCATATCGTGCTTCGAACAAGAACAGCCTGACGCCCCCAAGACACTCCCTGGGCACTCATTATCCGCCATCCATCCATTCTTCCGACGTCGGTTCGATTTCTTGAACTGGGGATTTCATGCGACAGGCCAAAGTATCTTCCAATTTCACCTTCTTCGGGTGAGTGTGGTGTTTTAATCACAATGTGGGCCTTCGCTTATAGCCGGTGTGTCATCAGAATCAGGTCATTGTCGTCTCCGGCGAGCGGGCTCGCGAGACGTTCTTCGCTGCTCGTGGCCTCGATCTTGAACAAGGGTTCAAAATATTGTCTGGAGCTGTGGGTATTATTCGTCATCTTCTCACGAAAGATTCTGAACTGGTGGATAGCTCCCCACTCTCAAAGGAGTAACATCAGACCTTCAGAACAAGGCCAGAAATATTATCTATAAACGACTCGCAACCGTCCAGCGAAACACTTCTCTGAGCGATTGTGAGTAGCATGCCTTTCAATGATCGTCCTGCTGAGTTTCAGCGAAATAATCCAGTGATTCCCGCAATCTTGGAGGATTCTCGGCGAATCATGGAGGGTTGGGGATCAGGAGGATCCTTCGATCCCTTCGAGAAAGTTTATGAAGTTAGCCTTTTAACCCCTTGCTCTCACTGGGGATTCATCTGACATATTCGCATCGATTGTTCCACCAGCTCATCTTCCAGACCACCGTGCGAAGCCTGACATGTTCAGAAATCGCCGACGATCCTGCTATCGTCGCACGGCTCAAGGTCCTTTACGATCAACTCGATCACGGCACGACACCTGCTACTGTCCTCCTCCCATGGTTACCCACGCCTGCCATGGTGAAGAAACTATGGGCCACTAAGCAAATATACGATATCGTCGCCCGCGCTATTGCCACTCGGGAACAAAGCGGTGTGGCTCAAAACGACACCCTACAGATGCTCCTCGACTCCAAAGACGACAAACTGATTATTGTCGGAGTAAGTGATATGACCTACCTCTTGTCCCTCGTAGAGTACTGATCGCGACTGGTGATAGTTCATCATGGGGCTTTTGATCGCAGGAGCGCGCGCAACGGGCACAACTGGTATGTTGGGCATTCCTAAACATGGGAATCGTCACTAACCTGCCATTAGCATCCTGGCTCATTACTTTCTTGGGAGCTAACCCTGAATGGCGGGCGAAGGCACTCCTTGAAGTCCAGACACTCCTTTCGAATTACCCACTTTCTCAGCCGACACCCAACGGCTCCTCCTCTGCTCACCTAGCAACCATCCCTTTGGAAGCTTGGGAGGCAGAGATGCCTGTTCTTGACTCGTTGATCCGGGAAACCCTCCGTGTCGCGCAACCACATTCTGCGATGAGACGCAACCTCGGTCCCGATCTTTATATCGAAAACAAGCGCGTCCCAACGGGATCATATGTTATCTATCCGTTCAGCGACGTCCATCTCGACCCAGAACTCTATCCGGATCCATGGAAATTCGATCCCTCGAGGCCAGTCGACACCAAAACGCCCTTCGGTTATGTCGGCTGGGGTGGAGGTATGTGTCACATTCATGACGGGTCTCTCGGGTACTTACTTGGCCACAGGCAAAACAACCTGCCTCGGAACTCGCCTCGCAAAACTAGAGCTGAAAATGGTTACCTCTTTATTCCTTCTTGGATTCCAACACCACATCGTCGACATAAATGGAAAGGTCGCCGATGTTGCCCCCAAACCAGACTGGAACGATATACATATGTGTCGCCCTGCCAAAGGTTCATGCTACGTCAAATATGAAAAACTAGAAACCCAACTATAGACGTAGACCCGGTGTCTATGCTCTTAACGACTGTCATTCGCCAACATCAACACTCATTGCAATATGTATCGCATCATTGTAAATCGTCGCTCGCTAGCCATTATTCTTGATTAATGTCGTATTTGCATATTCGTAGATGGTGCCATATATTATTTCTATCTACGTATGTAATCCTTAGAGTGTCCTAGACAAATACCCATACCTGTATCCATATAATATTACTTATATAATATGATGGAATTATGTACCACATCTTGAACGTTCTGTTCGTCATGATATTTCTTGTGGACAGACTATCCTAGTTGTAAGCGTTCAGGACGTTGAAACGGCGATGCAGGACAGACCACTTGCCATACAGTAGGGGACACAAGATAAAAGACGCCTAATCAAACTCGAGCATGTCTTTAGCGTGAGCACCTATAACCCTCCTCCCTCCCTCTCTCCCAGAAACATATCCTTGTTTCAACGACTGTAGCTCCTGCGACTGTGCTGCCTCTTTCTCCTTCCTCTCCCTAATGAACTGCTCCCTTATACCGCGTTCCCGCATCGCAAGCCTCGCGATTTTAGCTTTCGGAGGCTGCCATTTGCTCTTCAAAATCCTCCTCACAGCCTCCGAGCTGATTTTGAACTTGTCTGCAAGGACAGACGTGGTGAAGGTCTCTGGGCTGAATCTATGAAGGTCCCGCAGCCCTTCC